GATATGGAAAGAAGTGTTGGTTAGTAAAATAACAGGCATCATGTAGTAATTCACTTTTCTGGCTATTGGTTGTTACTCATTAATTTGTAACTTGTGTACTGTGTAGGCCACTGATTCGGGCGTGGTCAGTTGATCACTTGATCTTGTATCTGACTTGAAAGTGATCTAGCTCTTCTGTATGAATAGAGGCAGTACCCTGGAGAATTATCTGGGATCTTTTTGTTAATAGCGAATTTTATGTACAGTTTACCAAGGGAAGGAAATTCTTGCAGATTTTTTCCGGTACTTCTTCCAACTTCAAATATTGTTCTTTCAACTTCAACCAAATATTGTCCAAACGCCTTGAGTATCTCGATTCCAATTTCTAACCTGCCGCGGTTGCTTGGAGAAGTATGCATACCTAGAAGTATTTTCTTTTTTCCTTGAGCTATTCCTTTTGAAATACACTGGATGAGGCCAGTGTCTTTCTGCTAGGTTCTAAGCAGCTACTCTTGTTTGACTTTGGGTTTTTGACTTCAGATTGAGTTCAGAATGATGGAGGGAATGAAAAAGTCTGGTGTATGTGCTAATAAGATACCTCCGGAGATTTTACTCTTGTTTTCTCTAGGAATGTTAGGTTATGGCTCTACTCTAACTTGTTGATGACTTAGCAAGGATGAGTTATTGGGTGTTACTCTTTGATGGTTTTGCGCCATCCCACATGTTGTAACTTGATTTTATATATCTGAAAAGAAAAGAAGGTTCTAATGTAATTGGCCAAAGTCGGACAAATTCTACTGCCTGTCTGCAGTACTTACTACCATTAAATGTTTAGTGAGTGTACCAATTTTGAGAGAAGGGTAACTATCTCTAATTCATATGCTACTTATTAAACTACTTGACCCATTTAGTGGAATGATGCTTGAGCTCTCGCTTTCCTGTTTACCGTGACATGTTGATTGGACTTAGTTCCTCTTATATAATTGAATTTTATTCTAGAAGATGAGGTCCAAGGTAAAGTGGAAGGGAAGAAGGCGGCGTACCTGAAGTTAGTAGGTAGCACTGGCGAGGAGGAGGAGAGCGAACAGTGAGAGATATAAGGCCGCTAAGAAGGAGGCGAAGCCGGCGGCCACGGAGGCTAAGACTGCGGCTTTTGCTCGTCTGTACGAGTAACTGGGGGACAAAGGCGGGGAGAAGAAGTTATTCAGGCTAGCCAAGGCGAGGGAGAGGAAGGCTCGGGATCTGGACCAAGTGAGGTGCATCAAAGACGAGAACGATAGAGTATTGATGGGGGAGGACCAAATTAAGCGGAGATGGCAGACCTATTTTCATAAACTTCTAAATGAGGAAGGGTATCGGGATATTGTGCTAGGTGAATTGGGGCATTCCGAGAGTCACCGTGACTTTATGTATTGTAGGCGCATCAAGGTTGCAGAGGTCGTGGAGGCTATGCGAAAGATGAGTAGGGGCAGAGCTACTGGGCCGGACAAAATTCTGGTAGAATTTTGGAGGTGTGTGGGTAGAGCATGTTTGGAGTGGCTGACTGGGCTGTTTAATGTTATTTTCAGGACGAATAGGATGCCGGAGGAGTGGAGGTGGAGTATGGTGGTTCCGTTGTACAAGAACAAAGATGATATCCAAAGCTGTAACAACTGTAGGGGTATCAAATTACTGAGTCATACCATGAAAGTTTGGGAGAGGGTGATAGAAGTGAGGTGAGGAGGACTGCGTCTATTTCAGACAACCAGTTCAGGTTCATGCCGGAGCGTTCTACTAGAGAAGTTATCCACCTTATTAGGAGGTTGGTGGAGCAGTATAGGGATAGGAAGAAGGATCTTCACATGATGTTTATTGATCTGGAGAAAGCATATGATAAGGTTCCTAGAGAGGTTTTATGGAGATGCTTGGAGGCAAAAGGTGTGTCGGTTGCTTACATTAGGGTGATTAAGGACATGTATGATGGAGCTAAGACTCGGGTTAGGACAGTGTGAGGCGACTTAGAGCATTTTCCGGTTGTTATGGGGTTACACCAAGGATTTGCGCTCAACCCATTCTTATTTGCCCTGGTGATGGATGCACTTACACGTCATATTCAAGGGGAGGTGCCATGGTGTATGTTATTTGTTGACGACATTGTTCTGATTGATAAGACGCGAGGCAGCGTCAACGAGAGGCTGGAGGCTTGGAGACAGGCCCTTGAGTCTAAGAGTTTCAAGTTGAGCAGGACTAAGACGGAATACCTAGAGTGCAAGTTCAGCGTCGAGCCAACGGTAGCGGGATTGGACGTGAGGTTTGGATCACAGGTCATCCCCAAGAGGGGCAGTTTCAAGTACCTTGGGTCGGTTATACAGGGGGAAAGTGAGATCGACGAGGATGTCACTTACCGTATTAGGGTGGGGTGGATGAAGTGAAGGTCAGCGTCTGGAGTCCTGTGTGACAAGAAAGTGCCAAAAAAGTGCCGTTGATACTCAAAGATACGTTTTATAGGCCGGTGGTTAGACCGGCTATGTTGTATGGGGCCGAGTCTTAGCCAGTTAAGAACTCTCATATCCAGAAGATGAAAATAGCAGAAATGAGGACGTTGGGGCGGATGTGCGGGCACACTAAGGTGGATAAGATTAGGAATGAAGATATTGGGGAGAAGGTAGGCGTGACCCCCATGGATGACAAGCTGCGGGAAGCTAGGCTCAGATGGTTCGGGCACGTTCAGAGGAGAAGCCTAGATGCCCCGGTAAAGAGGTGCGAGCTGCTGGCTTTGGTGGATGCGAGGGTAGAGAGCGGCCTAAGAAGTATTGGGGAGAGATGATCAGGCAGGACATGACGAGGTTTCAGATTACCGAGGACATGGCCCTAGACAGGAAGTTATGGAGGTCGAGCATTAGGGTCGTAGGTAAGGAGGTAGTTGTGCATATTTCTACGGCGCGTTAGAGTGAGGCTAGTCTGTTAGGGTTTTGTCTTAGACTGTAAGTGGTTAATATTGGGTTCGCATTACTCTTTCGTTCCTTTTAGTGCCGGGCTTTATCTACCGGTTATTGTTTTGCTTTTCATCTATGTTCTTGTGATGCTGTTATTTTTTTCTAAGATTTTTATGGATGGTACTGATATATTGTCTTTTTTCGTCTTCTTGAGCCGAGGGTCTATCGGAAATAACCTCTCTACCCCTTGGGGTAGGGGTAAGGTCTGCGTACATACTATACTCCCCAAACCCCACTAGTGGGGTTTCACTTGGTTGTTGTTGTTGATATTTGTTGGAATTCTGTATATGGTTTTGGTTTGCTGGGGTATATGTCATGGAATAGTTTAAATTTGATGTGTGATGATTTGTATTCTTGAAAGTGGAAAATGAGTATTTATATGTGCCCCAAGCATTTCGCGATAAACCACATGTAAAGTATGTAATTAAGTGGGACAGAGTGACTAGGTCTTTTGATTTATTTGATCGGGGGGTGGAGTGGGGGGGTTTGTGTTTAAAGCTGGACCGTATGGAACATATTACGCTTCCACTTTGCCACAGTTAATCGTTGCAAAGACTTTTGTGCTTCTCGCATGTTGTTGGATGATGTCAGATTGGAAAGGTTAAAACTTGAGCTTCTTTGTGTCACCTGATAGAAAACCTGTTCAGTTTATTCCTTCACATTCATCTTGTATTAATGATCTGTCTGCTTCTTGGGACAGTATTCCTGGTCGTTATCAAGCATTCTGGAAGGAACTTGATGATGTCAAGCACTTGTGGAAGCACAGACAGGAGCTGAAAATCGAGGATGCTGGCATTGCTGCTCTTTTTGGCCTTGAATGTTTTGCTTGGTTTTGTGCTGGGGAGATCATAGGACGAGGGTTCACGATTACTGGTTATTATGTCTGAATGTCTCCAAGTATTAGGTTTCAAAGAAATGACTTATATCACTTTTGATAGGTCATTGCCAATCTCTACTTTGAGCGGATAACACGTATCAACGAGATACAGATTTTCAATTTTCATGTTTAGCAGGTACAATGTACGCAGAGGATGAGCCTTCTGTTAAAGATTTCAAAGGCTGAGTTAGGAGTAATATATGTGCTTCAATAAGGCGGCATCAAGCATGTCATTGCGCGATTATTGTTGCTTGCTATATGTTTATTTTCCTCTGGAATCAAAATAATTCCTGTGCGGCTCTCTTTTTAACAGTCTTAAAGTTAAAGCTGTTTAATTGAAAAGAAAAGTTTCTTGCTGAACTAGAGATTGTATCTTGAGAGTGATGTTACCAAATTGGACAAACTTTCAAATCTGGTTCAACTCTTGCGATCTCTCTGGCAATTTGAGGTTTTGATTGTCCTTAATAAAGTACGTATAAATTCTGGGACAGAGGGAGTTCAAGACTTTGTTCGTGAGTTTTGACTTGGAAAGTACCTAATTAAGATTTTTTGCATAGTTTAAGAGCATCTTGGATCATATGCCATTTAACTCCGATTGGATAGTAGTTGCTAGGTAGTGGATAACTATTTTAGGCCTGCTTTGGTTTCTAACAGTTTCAATTTAAGAGCATAAGCTGGCAAGAAAGTTGATCGTAAGGATCATATTCACATTAAAAATCGTGCCACCTCATTTGCTGATTATAGAGATGCTTTACTAAAGTTCAGCACTAAACTTCTGCTATGCACATTCATAGATTTGAGGAAAGCTAGATCACATTAAGCTTACTTTGCATGTTTAGAAGCTAAACTTCCGCTATGCACATTCATAGGTTTGAGGAAAGCTAGATCACATTAAGCTTACTTTGCATGTTTAGAAGCTAAACTTCCGCTATGCACATTCATAGGTTTGAGGAAAGCTAGATCACATTAAGCTTACTTTGCATGTTTAGAAGCTGCTTCCACGGCTTGCAACCGTGCTAATTAATTTGTCCTTGCCGGTTTCCTTATAAATGCTTAACCAAAAAATATTACTGTATAATAGAAGAAAGCCTACAGTAGCTTTTAATTCTTCTAAATAAATAAATAAAAAGAAAAAGGAAGTTCATAGGTTTGGAAAAGTACAAGACAACTTCTAATGGGTCGAAACCCAAGGCCACAAAGATTATTGTATTTCTGATTGTGTTCATGTTCTATGTACAAGTATCGAGTCCAAACAGAATACTAGCACTTCGAAACTGTTGTATCCATTCTAACAAAAGTAATATCTAATATATTTAATTAGAACAAAACTTGTAAACTGCTCACAAAATTAAGAAACTTTCAGGTGGCAACACGAATATGAAATATCGCCTTCTTACTCTCTGTACTAATCCTCCTGCCTTACTGAAAAGGAGCTTTTGTCTTTCCCTAAAGGATGTTCTTCCTAAAAGCCGATACCATCTTTGGTGAGAACAGAAAAACGAATGCTAATAGTGATCCGAAAAGCATTTTTATAAAATATTGCATTGGATCATTGTCAACTTCTTCCTCTGTACTAGTGGACGTCGACATTGCCATAGCCGAAGGCAATGCTTCAATAACTGTATCTGCCAGATCAGTTATGAAGGATGAGGTGCAATTCAGAGCAGGAACGCGACCCCAATTTTCAATTCCTGATTCAAGTGCTAATTCCTTGTATTCCATATCAATCTCTTCAAGAGTCTCTATGTGCTCACTCACAAAGCTGAAATTCCAATAGCAAGCATACATTAATACGAGATATCAATAAGAAAACCAAGAGAAAAAACATCTTTGTGCAAGTATTAAGAAAGTCTAAAGAGACACAAGAAGTATTTAACTGTCATTTCAACAATCAAGCCCATAATACTTTCGGGGGGGGGGGGGGGGGAGGATAATTTAAGTGCTTAACTCTCTCATTTTCCTCCAAAGGATCATTAAAACATTTTCAAAATTTTGACCCTTCTCAAATTCCAACTATAACATAACTCAAGCCAAAGGTTGGCTTGGCATAGTTGCATGCAGATCCTGTGCTCGGAAATTCATAAGTTATAGGACCTAAAATGTTCAACTTTCCAACAAAGATTTGATGAATGTTCAAAGATTCAAAGCATAAGGAGGATTCGCTTAACTACACCCAGAATATGAGACTGCGGAGAATTTCGAGAAATGTACTCAGGTAGCATCTTAGTGGGGATTACACTGGGTGGTTGTTGTTGTACTCAGGTAGCATCTCACTGCTATTAATTTGTTTATCTTTCTTTTGATAAGTCAAGAAAGTAGCATCTCACTTCTGTAGTTGAATCATCTCAAGTTTTCAATCTCTATATATGCACAAAAGTTAGCTTCCATTTGCAAAGATGCCTAAAGTTATGTTACATAATTGGGATAATACCATCCTATCAGTCATGTGGCTTTCCTATCACATCTCCAGCAAATTGGGTCTGGCTAGAGACCATCATAGCCTTGAAACAGTACCCAACAAATGTAAGGAAATAGCTTTATGTAAGTCTAATACTGGGATGTGAACCTAACAAAATATTGCCCAATAAATTCTTAACACTGAGTTTGATCCCACAACATTAAAAGAGCTGCACGAAACTGAGAACAGAAAATTCAGGTGGTTCTAGGATGTATACCTTACTGGAACAGCCAACAGAGACTTTACACCTTTCTTGCCAAGCTCAACAAGAACTTCGTCAGTGTATGGTTTCAACCACTGTACAGGTCCAACTCGGCTCTGGAATGCCAAAAAAAATGATATTAGATTAAATTCAACACCAAACAGGAAGAAAAATCCCTCCGTCACATTGTAATGGACCTGGTTAACTTTTACATGTATAGGAATAATATGTTATAATGGATATCGTCGAAACTATGTCATATCAAATTGGAATTAATATTGTTNCCAGCCCACCGTTCTGCCCCCCAACCCCCATACAGAAAAGGCTAAAGAGGAAAACATGGACTATTTCCAACTTTGCCATGAACTGATCAGTATAAGCACAACTGGATGTAGATTGATTACAGTGTGTAATCTACATTTATTTCTAATCTATTATCTATAATAACTTTACGCAATGGCCACCATAAGGGAGAGCTCAATGCAGATGGCATTATAGAATGTCAAGAACTGTGTAACGCAGAAAACATGATCCAATGACAAACCTGATAAGCCAAGGTATGATCATTGTTAGTTCCTCTAGCTTTCAGCTCATTCATTATCAAGGAAATGCACTCCTCCATCTGATCTCGATATGGATCACCAGCATCTTCCACATAACTAACTGGCACTCCATGGGCGCTAAAGAAAATCATCACCTAAAATCATCCGGAAACTTGTCATTATGTTGCCACAGTAGCTACTCCCAGTTTCAATAATAGTAAAAAGGAGTTCATCAATTACAAGTATAAACATGACGGACAGGAACTGAGTCCATACAACTAAAGAATAAGAAGATAATCTACCTCCTCAGGGTTAGAGAAATTATGCAACTCCTTCTCTATCAAGTCTGCCATGGACTTGATGTAGCCTTGTCGTTGGTACCAGGATTCAATGATAGCAACTGGCAGTCTAGACAGATAAGAGTCATCCCTGAGAGGAAGCAAAGTTCATACATTATTTTGATAAAGGAGTTCATATATTATTTAGAATCAGGAACAATATATATGTAACATTATTAAGAAAGAATATGACATTCCACACATGCAGTTACCAAATTGAAAAGAAAGAATTACTTGAAAATATTTTGTAGGGCACGGACGCTCGAACCAGTTGTAGAGATAGAATATTGAGGATACAAAGGCAGCACTACGAGCTTCGTAATCCCATCTCTTTTAATCTGCCGCACAACAGGGAACACAAATTCAGATCAAAGAGAAGATTTACATAATTTTAGCATTCGCAGGAGATGAGTGATTCTGGGGCGGGCCCATTCAATCCCAGCTGTTCAATCAGATGCTTCTTTCGAAAATGGACGACTGCTGCTGGGATTGGATATATGAATAAAGCATGTACTATCTAGGACATTCAGCACATGAGATTTTTAAATGAAAGGACAAAAAAAATATAGGATCTCAAATTAACAGCTGGTGATTTTCAGAATTATCAACATCTAACATGTATTATACATATGTATTTACTAGATAAAGCTGAGAGTGTATATTACAGATCACTAAGGGAAACACTGCATTATCAATAAGGCTTTGCTATGCAAACAGACATCCATTCACTACACAAACATCCAATGTCCAACAGTTGGTTACCCCCATCCTGGTCCTATCTACACAGCATAAAATTGTAGATTCCATACTGGTATGCATATGAAGATCTGTAATTGCTAAGAAAATATTGTGAAAGCATCCGATTTAATTACTAGAAAATTTCGTAATCATCATAGTCCTCATTCCTAGACAAGATAGGAGTCCAACTGATTTACTTTAGGTACCCCTATAAAATGAATATTCATTATAATGAGGACGATGCAAAAGCATATAGTGCAGAAGTCTTCTGCTATTTACCTGCACTAAAACTCTATAAGGGTTGGAGATCGAGAGAGGTGTTCTCTCCTTCTTTCTTATGTTTATTATTTCCCCTTTGGGTGTAAAGTGAAGGAGAGGGTGGTGAGCTACAAAAAATCAAATTCAATAGGCATCCATTCACTAGAAATGTCATCTATTATATCTTTAATTTGCCACTTTTCCCAACAAAAAATTCTTCAAAAATTACTCATTAAAGAAGTTTTTTTTTTTTCTAGGATCAAATCCTGGTTAGGATTGCTTTAGGATCCCAGGTCTAAGTGTAAAATCATAAGAACTTTATAAGACTAGAAGAAGAAAAAAGAAACATTACATACCTACAACTTGCATAACTACAGGAAAAGTTGAAATTGGTGAAAATCTATTCTAAAGATATAAACTCAAATGTCTAAATACGACAGGAGCTCAGAACATACATCACTTGTAAAAACATGTAATACAGGTTATGCATAAACATAAATGGAAAAGGATGGGCCAAAAGGTATACCGTTGTTTACATTCATTATACCGTAAATTAAAAGCGAATTTGCAGCAGATGAGCTGCAGGTTCCAGAAAAATAAGGACCACTTCTATCATAAATCTAAACAAAAACATTGAAGAGAAGATCATAGGCTATGTTGCTCGAACTCCCCGAAAATATTGCTGGGTGCGTGCCGGATTCTCCAAAAGTAGTGCATTTTTGGAGGATCCGACATGGGTGCGGCAGCATTTTGGAGACTCCGCGCAACATAGCTCATAGGGCAAAACGACATTTTTTTATAAGGACTCATAGGACAAAAAGTTATGATCTTAAGATCCTACAAATTTTTGTTCTATCAATCAGAATTATTTCCTCTATTATTAGTGATTCTTTATTATTACTTTTTTTCAATAACTGAGAAATTCTTGAGGACAAATGGAGTGCATGGCCTCGGCTCCAGAACCACACTTGAGATGTCTCGGTTCTTCTTAAGAAATTGAAGCTCCCTCACTCTAGATAGGAAAAAATCATTTACAAAGTTTAGCTGGCCCGTTGGCACAGACATGAAACACCTACTAGGATGAGGCATAGCGGGAATTGAACCCACATCTCGTTGAGTTGCTCCAGCAAGCACCCCTTTGGAAGCTCAATTCCGAGGACCGGGGATTGTAGATTTGGTTGTATTTGGATGGTTTTCAAACTCCCGAAATGCAGTCTAGACAGCTAGCCGTCCCCTTTCTGACTAGTCTAATACCAAAACCATTTCCATCATTACCATAGCCAAAATTGAAGCTGCAGTTATGTAGGCACTTGACAGTTCGAAACTCAGTTGATAATAGGCCCACCCCTCTACCCTTCTCCACTTAAATACCGAGCTTTTGTTTGTCATAGGGTTCAAACCCGTGTCGTGCGCCTAACCCACATCACATGTTGCGCTCTTACCACTAGACCAAAGCCCTATGGGGAAATCTGTGTTCTTACTTAATACTAAGATGGCTTACATTTTTCAGTTTTGATATCTAGGTGGTTCTCTTGAAGTTCTGCCCCTATACAAACTCTTAACACAAGTTGGACTTATTTGAAATATCAAGGGGATTTTTTTAAAGAACAACTAGAATACATGCATACTGACATGAAAACGAGGAAAAAGAATAAATGCAAGCCATTATCAACTCAACTTGGCTAGATATAAATCTAAACACATGAGAGAAGACACAGACAAGATCAAAGAGGTGATCAAGAAATAAACAGATGTAACTGCTAAAGGAAAAAAAGAAGGCATTTTAGACCTACCTGGTGAACAGCTTCCTCGGTGAATGGGTGCCAGTAACGCATTGCAACATAGACATTTGCAGGAACTTCCTTTGTTTCTAGTGCCATTTTTAGCGCGCTAGCCTGTAATAGTGAGCTTAAGAGGGTTATAACATGTTGAAAACGACTCCACCATATATGGAAAAAAAAAAAGAGCTTTTTATCATATAGTACCAAAAATAAAACTGAGGGTTTTCTTTACCTGCTCATCTGTTATCTTTCGTAAAGGGGAACCGCCTCCAATTGCAGCGTACCCTTCCTTACTCTTCGGGGCTCGGAGAACAGAAATGAGCTGTGCTAATGGGCGTTGGAGAAATCGGAATAATCTAGGGAGACGTATAATATCCTGCCCACCAAAAAACAAAAGAATGATACCATTAGCATAACCACAAACAAATCTAACTTAACTGTTCAACATCTTCAGCTTAGAAGAAACAAGGGAATTAGACTGATTGCTAGCATACAGGGTCAGCAAATAAGTTGAACAGGAAAGGCTGAACATCGTGAAGCGTGTCTGGTCCTCCAAGATTCAAAAGTAGCACCCCAATCTTTTCTTCAGTTGTCTGTGAAGGAGATTCAGCAATGCTCCCGGGATATGTATACGCCCCAACAGAGCAAAACGTTTTGCCGACTGGATCTCTCTTGTGCACTGGACGATGTAAAGACGATCCACCAAATACACTGCTCTTCTTATTTTCTGAAGATAAAACCATAGACAATTCCTGCTCGGTAGGATTCGTTTCTTGTCCACCATGTGAGACATGGCAAGCAGGCATTAACCTTGTCCGAGGGCAGAACCTGCCAAGACAGAGACTTACGATATGATTTACAGAGGGACTCGCATTACTTCTTATAGGCAAACATATCTCAAACAGAAAGTGGATCTTTTCTCCAATTAAAGTTCTATGACTTTGTACTTAATACACTCCCTTTATTTAATTATCCCTACTATGTTGCATTGCATATGTTAAGAGTTACGTTACGTTAAGAGTAAAATCTAATTTTTTGTACAAGAAGCATTTACTTCACATGATTAACTTATATTCAAATTAGTGTAAAACCAACAATTTCTTCATATGTCTGGTGAAAACAGTACTATATGACCTCAGGCTCCTACGAAAACTCAAATCATCAGAAAATTAATCCCAGCAGCAAAAAGAAAAAAAAAAGAACATCTTTCAGCAAGATTCTGAGTTTCAAACAGTTGACATACAATAGATTAAATAATCTTGCTAACAAATCATTGGATCAAAACCCATAGAATTGACAATGGTCAGCTTCTAGGTATAAAACCGAAATGAATTTCCGAGAACAAAAAAAAATGAATGACCCATAAAAAGCTTACATCGAAGAGTTAGAGCTGAAATTGGAAAGATTTGAACTTTGAAGCTTCATTGGTTGAAGAAGCCGAGAGATCGTCCCTGCTTCCATGATCAAAATTTTCAAGGGAAAAAAAAGGAAGAAATTTATAAGTAGTTTTTTTTATGGGGTTCGAAAGTTGTGAAGATTTGGATCAAATAGTTATATTAAAAGGGGATTTGCTCATAAAATATAGAGAAAAGTTATAAGAAATGTAGGGTTTATGGGAAATTATTGGATGGAGAAAAAAGGGGTTGCGTGTATATATGAATAAATAAAGAGAAGAGTCAAAGGGAAAGAGAATAATGAAGACGTGTTCCTAATTGGAGGCGCTAATGGCAGAAAGAAGCAAGTACACCTAACACTAATGCTTAGACTTTTTCACAAGTAGTAGTTGGCCAAAGGGACCCCATCGATTGAAACTTCTAACGAAACCCGCGCCAAATCCACTGATCATTTTTTCTTTTCATACTCGTATAAAATTTAGCATTAGAATTGTATT